CTGCACCTTGTTGTCTCGGATTCTCCAGCATCTGCAGTTCCTACTATCTCTGAGAGAACAGTTCCAGCCTGGAAGGATCATCAGGGGAAAAAAAGTCATGGCAATTGGTCTTTTTCCAAGTGGCACAGTAACTAGTGGGATATCATAAGGATCAGTGCTTGGATCCCAGCCATATTATTATCAGAATAACAACAGATTGGCAAACGGAAGAAGTACAATGAGGCCTGGTTGTCTTGTACACCAGTCGCTGAAAGGAGGCACATAGGTGCAGCAGACAGTGAAGAAGGCCTTTATAACACGGCAATTCGAGTACAGGAGCAAGGATATCTTGCTGCAATTGTAGAGGGCCTTGGTGTGACCACACCTGGAGTACTATGTGCAGTTTTGATCTCCTTATCTGAGGAAGAATAAGCTGGCTATGGAGGGAGTGCAACAAACATTAACCAGACTGATTCCTAGAATGGCAGGATTGACATACGAAGAGACTGGATTGATTAGGACTATATTCACTGGAGTTTAAAAGAATGAGAGGGGTTCCATAAAAACCTACAAACTTTGAACATGACAAGACAGGATAAATGTAGGAAGGTGGTTCCCAATGAATGGATAGTCCAGTACCAGGCATCACACTCTAAGGGGTAGGCTATTTAGGACTGAGATGAGAAATTTCTTCTTCAAGAGAGTGGGAGCCTGTAGAATTCTCTGCCACAGAAAGCAATTAAGGCCAGAACATTGAATCTTTTCAAGGAGGTGTTATGATTAGCTCTTAGGGCTAAAGGGATCAAAGGTAGTGGGGAGAAAGTGGGAAAAAGCCACTGAGTTGAATGGTCAGCCATAATAATAATGGTCAGCTGTGCAAGCCAAATGGTCTACTCCTGCTCCCATTTTCCACGTTTCTACGATCCCCTTTACAACCAGTTGCAACACAGTCCTCACCCATTGCTGAAGTTGCAGCAGATTTCACAACAAACATCTGAGGTTCAAATTTGAGAATTGCAGGTGTCCAGTTAGCTTCTTATGTAACTAATTAAAGGCTGCTTTCTGCCTCCACTACTGGCCCAGTTGCTGAACTGCCAGCACTCTTATTCGGGAAGGACTGCCATTTTTAATTGGATAGCAGCCCTGGCAGTGGCCACTCAATTAGTCACCACTGGGAATATGGCTGTCTGGGTCCTGCTGCTGGCTGACCTTTATTCACCTCCTGTTACCTCCCATTGGTGACGAAATGTCCGTCATGCCAGTAAGATTCAGCCCATAGTTGTTTTTTAATGTTTTGACTTTCAATCACGTATTCTGGACATTGCATAAGGTAGTGTGAAATAGATGGAAAGCCAATAATGATAATCATGATATAAGACTTGGAAATTCAAGCCAATAGATTAACAAAATAAATAATGGCCTAAAACTACAAATGAGCTCAGTGAGTTGCTGCATTCTATTGTAAGCAACAACAGGAGTAATTATTAGATGCTGTAGTGTATCAAAAACTAAAGATTTTAAAATATTAAGGAAGAATTCTTGTTAACAATTTAAATTACAGAAATTGCATTAAAGCTTATTCTGTTCCAGTGTACATTGCCATCATACAATTTGAGTTTCCATGATTTAGAGTTAGCCATTGATATTATCTATGGCTCATACACAAAGCTGCAAAACTAATAAGAACTTTGCATTACATCATTGCCTGATTAAGAGCCCTGTCACGTGCACCTTTCAGCCAACTGTTCTTTGTTATTTTTCATTCTCATACTGCAAATTTTCAGGCTTTTTATACTTCTGCAAGTGTATAGATCACAAAAATCAAATAAATGAATTATAGGTCACATTTATCCAACTGATCTACTGTTCTAAATACAATATTCTACTTTGAATTACCACAGCATATGGGATACTTAGCCTGTGGTCATCTATACTTGGATGCTGCCCACAGAGCTGTGAATAATTCAGATAGACACAGCGCTTTCAGATGATATTATTCAACTTCAGCTGTTTGACGTACTGCTCAGGCAAGCACAGCACTTCCTATATTTTGAGCAAGCAAAAATAGCTTCACATGACTCATTGCCTTAGATACAGAGCTTCTCATTCGTCTTGGAAGCCTTCTTTATCAGCCAATAACCATTGTACCGTACTTTCTGCATGCCTAGTTGGCAGACAAATTTCAACCAATCATTGAAGACATGCATTGGTTCTACAAACCAATAGCTTGTCTGTTGCCAGGATAGAAAACAAAGTCACTGACAAAACAGTTACAGTCCTTTTGTTTCATCTTCAATTACTTTGCATTGAGCACAACTGATAAGGTTCCAAGTATTATCTAAGAACATAATCCTTATGTACATACGAATAGATATTTTGGATCTGTTTTAAAATTAAAATGTTTTGAGAAAGAAGATTGAAAATCAAATAAAATTCATATTCAAATATTATTGCCAAAGTAACTAAAATAAACTGGCAGGATGCAACCATTTGATAACAAGGGCTACATTCTATGGGGTGGAAACTATATAACTGGATGACAGATAAAGGCAATTGTGCCTAGTGGGAATTAGTAAATTATTACATGTGTAATTAAGCAATATTAATAAATTATTTGCAACAGAATTAAAATTAGGCAATTTGCTTTCAGCATCTCTTTCAAAGTGAAGGATTTTTAAAAATTATATACACTTTCAAATGTGAAAATAACTAGATGAATTAATAAAAATAGGAGCTAAATATAGTACCTAGCTTGCAGCACTGCTTAACTGTGACCATTAATTTTAAGCCATTTGTGTAAATATCTCAAATATATAAACTGGAACTACACCAACTTAGGACTCCACATGCAACTTTGAAGGATAAATAGGAAGAGTATACCCTCATTTGTACAATGCAGAGACCTGTTATGCATCCAGCAGGTCAATTTGATCTGTCTAGAATGTGATAAAGAATTTAGCATGGCTTTTCCATGTTGCTAGTTTGCTTCTCACTCACACACCTGTCGCACTGGCTCGCAGTAAGAAAGAGAGCAAAATGTGTAATTCCTCCGTGTCAGCACACAGCCTGTTCATCAACAAGCTGTCAGCTGTGTCTCCTAACATCGACCAACAGAAGCTTGGTCCTTCACTGTCCCAGGTTAAAACTTCAAAGGAACCTGGAGGATATTTAGCTGTCTGACATACAGCGTGCAGGCCCACCAGTAGGTGGATATGTCCTGACACTGATAAATCAAATTTCCAGCTGTGGTGAATAGCTCCAGTGCCTTATAACTCAGGTGAGGTAAAGGCCAAGGGATTAAATCCTGACAAATTTTAAAAATCTATAATGGAGCCCAAAGGCAGACTTGTATCTGAATATGTAATCTTTCTGGCATCTTCTGCAACAAAGGCAATAGCCCACGTCAGTTACCACACACCTCAAGTTGGGTAGCCCTTGATAGTAAATGCTGCTCATACAGGGTCCATCTCTTTCAATGTGTATTGATAGCTCAAAATCTCTGCTCATCAGGTATGGAGACTCTGTCATATCAGAACAAATTGAAACAAACATAAAGAAAGAAGATGCCAACTCTTCAACTGACAAGCTGGAACAGGAACATGTGCATGGGATTTATAGATGACTTGTTGGTGGTCAATAATGTGTGCATGATAACCGTAATGGACATTATCCTGCTTATCAAGACCATTGACATAGACTTGCCAAGATGCGATCACAGGAAGAAAAAAAGAGGAAGAGTTCAGATGGAACGTGTGAATAAGATGTGGCCTTTCCTGTATGAACCTCGCTACTCTTGATAAAAGAACTCCCAACAAATTCCCTCCATCCTTCTTTCAACTCCAACAAGGGCAGTTAACCTTATTAGTATCTATGCTCCACTATAGAGGTGAAAAACTGGTTCTGTGAGGAGTGTGACAATCAAAGAATCCCAAAGTCAGAATATCTCTACCTACTGGGGGATTTCAATGCAAAAATAAGTGCAGATCATTGAGTACAGCCTTCCCGCCTTGAGTATCATGGTCTGCGAAAGACAAATGAGAATAGACAGAGACTACTTGAGCTTTGCTGCTCTCAATATTTATGTAGCAATTTTTTTCAGAACAACCCACACCACAAGGTGATGTAGAGAAATTCAATATCAGGCATTGATACTGGTTGGATCTGGTTGTCACCAGATAGCATTCTTAATCCTCACAGCTACAGACTGTGCTACAGATCACTTCCTGGTCTACACTCAGGTAAGGATGCAACCCTTGAAGATTTTAAGCTGAAATGTCATCCTCTTATCAACTTCAACCATGCTGCCTGGCTAAAAATTAATAATTCTGCAACTTGATTGAACAGGCACCCTCTGACATTCATACATATAATGCTGAGCAAAACAAACTTCTTCAAGACAGCATCTATTATATCACACTCTCAGCATAGATGAACAAGAGTGGAAAAATACTGACTGGCTCAAGGTTAACCTCGCTGTGATTGAACCTGTCATTGAACTCATGTAGTTCACTCTTATTAATTACAAAAACGATCAAGTCCAACAAACTGCTAGATGGTGTTTCAATGACTCTGCTGGAATATCCAGATGTCCTTTGATACAAGGAATGTTAAGGGCAGGATGAAGGAATCAAGAAGAAGACAGGTCCATCAACAAAGAAAATAGCTCTAGTGAAAGGAAGGCAGAGGGATCCATCACCAATTGCAATAAACCGTTGAAGAACTGGTTAGAATTCTGTTTCTTTTTATTCATTCATTTTATGTGCATGTCAGTGCCCAGGCCAGCATTTATTACCCCATTGCTAATTGCTCAGGGTGCAGTTGAAAGTCAACCACACTGCTATGGGACTGGAGTCAAATGTAGGCCAGACCAGGTGAGGACCAGCAGAATTTCTTCCCTAAAGGACATTAGTGAACCGGCTGGATTTTTATGACAATTGACACTGGTTACCATTAGACTAACATTTTATTCCAGATTTTTATTGAATTCAAATTTCAGCGTCTGCCATGGTAGATTCATATCCATGTCCTCAGCACATTAGCCTGGGGCTCTGGATTACCAGCCCAGTGACATTATCACTATGCCACTGTTTCCCCAAACTTTGAAACCTTGAACTTCAGACAGAACACAGTCACCAATGAAGTTCCAGGCACTATAGAAAACATATTTGTCATGACAGACATGGATGTCAAACCAACCGGAAGAACCTAGCATACTCACTTGCCATGGGCAAAGCACTACATGGTGATGTTAAACCACCTGAACTCATCAAACTGTCTTCCTCTGTAGCAAATGTGGCAGGGACTATCGTGGCAGAGTGAGGCATATGCGTCACACCAGGAGATGCGTATCCCAGAGTTGATCACAAGGCACAAGGCATCATTTTATCAGATGGAAGTCTGCCATAACCACGCAATGAATAGCCTAAGGAGCTGTTGTTAAAAGAACAATTGGTGACCAGTCCCAGAAAAGCCCAAGTGTCTTTTCTTCTATTTAGTTTGATCAGCAGGACCAGATTTTGCTTTCTGCCCAGTTTCCCGTTTCCCAGGCCTGAGGTCTGCCTGAGTGTAAGAACCTATCTGTTTTGCCTCATCCTCTTTCTCCCTTTGCTTTTTTATACTCTTTGTCTCCTCTTTTTTAAACCCTTCTTTCCTTTGTTACCATCCTTATTTCTTCTGCCCTTCTTTCCTTCTTTCACTCTTTCTAGTTAGTTTTTCCAACCACTAAATCTGCTTAAACAAGGACAGAAATTGCTGGAGAAACTCAGCAGATCTGGCAGGATCTCAGGACAGAAAGCAGAGTTAACATTTTGAGTCCAATGAATTAATTAGTTACTTCAAGTGCATGTAATTCATTTATTTAATTCACAGAACCCAACTGTAAAACAAGATAAAAAACCAAGATGCAATAATAAAAAGTAATTTACATACTTGATAAAGTAAATTAAGCTCATAATACTTTGCATATTCACAAATCCAAAGAACTGCGGATGCTGGAAATCATACATAAAACCAGAGATTGCTGGAAAAACTAAACAGCTCTGGCAGCATCTGTAGAAAGAAGGCAGAGTTAACATTTCGAGTCCAGAACTTCGGAACTCCTTTGCAGGAAGACTTTGCATATAGTTGGTGTGGCAGGTTTTGTTGCACGACAAGCACCACCATATTTCCTCATTTGAAATGGTGCATTTCTTTTCTCCAATTCAAGTAGATCTTCAGGTCAAACATGTAACTGATGTTCAGACTTTTACTTCCAATCTTTGGCCATCAGGGAAACTGTTGGTTAAAGTTTGAAAAGGAAGGTATTTAATCATGAAACCAAACTATTTCTATACTACAATAAGTGTATTTATTAAGTTAAGTACCATGCACTTAAATGCCTCTAATCAGTTTTGCAGTGATACAGTGTGGTGTGATTCAGTTTGAATGAGAGGAGAGTAAGATAATAATGTTAAACTGGTATGTAAAATGTACTGTGTATGTGTGAGATTGGTGTACATGTTATAATTAAATCAGCGTTGCAATTTAGTTTAACCTTGAGGTATAGAAAGTCTTCTCAAGTGGTGAAGAAAAGCAAGCAGTATTGTTGTATCAGACACCCATTGTACGCAGCACCTGACATTAATTGATTTGAAGGTATGACCAGGCACTACACATAACAATAGCCAATCTAATACCACCCATTTTTCACCGTCACTTCAGGTCCTGCTGCAGCTGCACAGAGCTTTAGTGGTGTATTGGAATATTGTGTATAGTTTTGGTCTCCTTATCCAAGAAAGAGTATACTTGCCCCAGAGGGAGTGAAACAAAGGTAGACCAGACTGAGTCATGGCCTGGCTGTGAGGAGAGTTTGAGGACATTGGGCCTATATTCTGTACAATTCAGATGAATGAGAGGTGATCTTGTTGAAAATCAAAATTATTACAGGGCTTGACAGGGTAAATGCAGTAGGATGTTTCCACTGTCTAGAACCAGTCTCAGATGTCTCAAGTCTCAAAGAAGTAGGCCATTTAGGACTGA